TAATCGCTGACCCACGATTTAACGCGAAACGTTCGACTTCCAACGGGAAGACTTCCACTCTAAATCCCGCCCCCTTCCGTGAGCGGCGAACAAATGGGAGCGGGCGCAGGCGTCGAGGCTTTTCTCTGGACCAATCGCCGTCCGGATGCCCTGTGACTGACGTCCGAGGCAACCGATCCGCTTTCGACCCCAGAGAACGGAGGCAGCGCGAGGGCTCGAGGGGGGAGTTCTCGCACACGGGCCAATGAAAACGAGCGGGGCGTCAGATGGACGTCGGCTTCCGCCAATGGGGCGGCGCGGAGGGGTTGTTGTTCCTCCTTTGTGTAAGCTCGAGGACGCCATGCCGAGGACGCTCTCGTGAGAAGGTTCTGGAGGTTCTTATTCCGTTGAGTTTAGTGAGGGGAAAAAAAACGGTGTTTGAAACCTGTTATTTTTTTTTAAAAACCGTTTCCGCTGACGTTATCGTAGCCTTTTATTATTTCATTTCTTAGTTTCCTCGGGAAATGGCAACGGGAGCTAACGCTACCCCGCTAGGAAAGCTGCACCCCAGTATCGGCGCCAAGCGAGGTTTCGAAGCCGGGCCTGGAGCGGGTCTCATGGCTCCGCCGGGCCCGCCTGTGCCTTTCCCGCCTCCTCCTAATTTCCAGCAGCCGCCGCCGCCTCCCGTGCCTTTCCCGCCGGGCCACCAGTTCCCCCAGCCCGCGGCGGGGGCCTCGTTTCCTCCTCCTCCTCCTCCGCCGCCGCCGCCGCCGCCGCAGCAGCCGGCAGCCGGGATGCAGCCGCAGTCGGGCGGCGGAGGTGAGTACGCGAGCCCGGGGATGCGGCGGGGGGCCTGCGGCGGAAGTTACCGCGTTGCCGCCCGTTACGGGGGGCGCTCGGGGTAAAAGGTCGCGGGGAGACGTGTGGGATGTCGTTTCGCGGGAAGTCCGAGCGAGTAAAGACGAGGCACAGAAAATATTCTGCCCATGTGCGCAACGCGGCTGGTATAAACTGCGCAGGCGTGTGGGCCGGCCAGGTGGCTCAGTGTAGCGTTTCTTGAAACTCTTTGCGTCGAGGTACTGTCTTATTTCGCCCCGGAATATCGCTATTCCCTCACGCCCTTGCTAAGGATTCGTTACGGTTTTTTTCTTCTTTTTTTTTTTTCGGGGAACCCAAATATTCTGATTTCTGGATGTATGCTGTCCGGGGGAAAGGCTGTGGTGCTTCTCGGGCTTGGTACGTGTGGGAGAAAATGGCAGTCGGGAGTTACGTTTAAAGATGTTTTGAGATTTTCGTCCCGGCTCCGCTGAGCTGAGGACCGGCCTCAGCTGATCGCCGCCTGCGGGGGGGAGTGTGAACACGGTCGGAGATGCGTGATTGAGCCAGATCATTCAGAGCCTTGCAAGTCAGTAAGTCGTGACTTTATGGGCACACCAATGTAGAAAGTTAAGTGTAGGGGTGATATCTGCAGAGTCTTGGATGTATTAAAACTTACTGAGAAGAGTGTTAAGGACCCAAAGGGCAAAGAGTTGCTGTAGATGCATTGATTGATAGAGATGGCCTCATGCGGGCAGTGTTTCTAAGGTGAGAAAAGAGGTCTGAATCCTATTTTTCACGTGGGGCTAAAAAGCCAGGCGAGGATAAGGCTTGGGTCCCATATTCCCATAGGTGAATGGGTCCCATAGGTGCAGGAAGTTAACTCCGCCGTCGCATGGTCTCATTGACTAAGTTAGGCTGGTTGTAATCTGAAAGCACTAGGAAAACCAGGTTCCCACTGAGAGGGGTTCTGATGGACCGGTTCCTTACCCTCTTCCCTCGGGACCAGAATGCCTCAGCACAGTGGCAGGATGGGGTGTGAAACCACAGTCCTGACTGCTTGGTTATTAAAGACCCCATGGCTTGTAAGAACTGGCGTGAACGACAGCAACGGGGCCTCACGCTGCACGTTTGCAGCAAAACGCGCAGGAGGTGAAAGGCTCGGCTCTGTGGGCGTTGTGTGCGCGGCGCGGGTTTTTCTTGAATCAGACGGGCACAAGCCCGGGGACCTCCGAGAGCATCTGGACCAGAACGTCACTGTTGGTCAGGTCGGTACAAGGTGGCTCTGCGTTTGGGTTAAAACGCTGAAGGGAGGTTTGTTTCTAGTGAATAACGGCGCTCGAGCCGGTGTGGAAAGGCTGTGGAGAGACGCTGCAGTTTGTTTCGCGGCGCCTTGCGTGGCTGTGTGGGAGGTATCTGGGTGTTCACGGGTTCAAATCCCAGGATCTCGTGGGACACCTCGGCTTGAGCCCTGTATTTCACCCCTGGATTGCACCTGCAAACTTGAATGCAATAAAGGACCCCTTATGTGACCTTTGGTGGGTTTCTTTACAAGTGTGGGACATGGTCATTGTGGTCAGCCTGCTCATTGAGACAAGGGTTCCAAGTCAAAGGGGGTCCCTGGGGTCGTTAGTAGCTAATTGACCTGAGGATCTTATCCAGCTGTTTCTTGAAAGAGACCAGGGCATCGGCTTCAACAGGATGGCTGGGCGTCTTGTTCCACACCCCCACCACCCTCTGGGTAAAGAGATGCCTTCTGTCCTTTTGTTTTCCGTGCACTTCCATGTAGTTTCTGTTTGGAAAAAGCACAAACCCTGCCCATGCCTCTGGGCTGCTGGAGTGACGGGACACGGTAACGAGGCTGAATGAAGACCAGTCTGCACCGCGCAGAGAGGAGTCTGAACGCTTCCTCTTTCTCCCTCCTCAGACTTCGGCCAGAAGAAACGCAAGCGGAGCCGCTGGAGCAGCGAGACTCCGGACCAGAAGACGGTGATCCCAGGCATGCCGACCGTGATTCCGCCCGGGCTCACGCGAGAGCAGGAAAGAGCATACATAGGTAACTGTCCTCTCCCGGCCTCCTCCGTATCCTGCCCGCACGGGCTGCCTCTCTGCCCAGTCAGCCGAGGTGAACCAGGCAGAGTGCTGTCTCTCTTCCGAAGCGCTGCTCGTTCTAGGAGAGGTGCATCTGTCGTTCTGTCCGTTGATTTTTCTGTGTGTGTGTTTGTGCGTGCAAGGTTTCCTAACACGTGCCCCCTGGTTTGCACTGCGGAGCTGTATGACCTGCAGCTGACACAGCTAGGTTTATCAGTAAGAACGTGCCCTGAAATTCAGGGTGTGGGCAGTCCAATACCCAAGTGCGCTGGTCTCGGTGGGTCACCAGCCCAAGCCCAAGTAAAACCCTCAGGACGTTTCCTAAAAGACGACTCTGAGATGGAAATTGCCACCGAAACACCAGGTTTTGTTTTTGTGGCATGGGCGAGTCTAGAGTCTAGAGACAAAGCGCTTGAAAGAGCCGAGGGGCTCGGAGTAAAACCTTCCAAAGGCAGAGGAGGCTTCCAGCGTAAATAACTCCACTCAACCAGCAACTGAGATCACATCTTAAAGATGCCCAGCTGTACAGAGGGATGCAAGCAGTCGAGGGCTCCATTGTGTGCGCAGAACAGATTTCTATTGGCTCGCATCGATATAGGCCTGGCTCATGGCTTTCCCTTAATTTCAGCTTCGGTCAGTTTTCCCATTTCGGGGACGTTCTTACTGATAAGAGTCTCAGCCGTGCGTTTCCCATTCCTGCCGGGTGTGCCGAGCGCCGATGCGGAATGCGAAACCCCTGCAGACGCGTGCGCCGTGCCGTGCTCCTCACCGGGGGGAGAGGCAGTTTGCGGCCTTGAGGTCTGCCTACCACTGGACACCCACTGCTGCCCAGAGAGAAACCCTTCTGCATGTGGCTCGAGAGGCGTGGGTTTTTGCGGCAGAGACCCGCCCGCGCCGGCAGCCCCGGCTGTTTTCCATCCCCCCCCCCATGGAGTTCACGGCTGGTTACGGAGCGCTTGCTCTGTTCGCCGGTCTTAGAATCGATCCTCCAACCGCAGCGACGCCAAAGCATCGTTCAGTTCGTGAGCTCCGTGATGGCGGGATGGAAATGGGTCTGGGGAAAGGTTCCATGGAACCTCATTTTAAGGATGAGCTACGAGAATTAAAGGCATCCAGCAGTGCATGTTTCGAAGGGCCAGTCGAGGACTGATCTGGGCTTTTATCAGCCGTGTGGGCTGCTCGATGGGGAGCCTTAAGGACTTGTGTTAATGTTCACTGGCAGACAAAACGGCAGCTCTTTTTCCATTGCATCTATCACCCTGTTACCCGATGACCGTCAATGAGTAGGGTATTTGGCTTAAATCAGACGTTCAGTGTTCTAGTGACTGGTCAGGCTGCCTGGCAGCTTGAACAGCAGGTAAGTTGCTGGTGTGTAACTGCTCGGTCGCGGAGTTATTGATATTGTTCAGATTTAAATGGTTGGCCTTCCTTTGGTATGTAAACATTTAACCTTTTTTTTGTTCATTTGGATGTTGCTCACTTTTGTTCCCCTGGTCATTTGTGGTTTTATATTTATTTCAAATAAGTACTGAGGTTTCACTTGTTACATTAGTGCGAAGAGTATTTGTTTTACATGTTCCAGTGTGATGGTTCTGTTCATTACAGTACAGTAGCGGAGGTTTCACTTGAACCGTGGCTGTAAAACCCTTTTGATCACACTTCTCAATGTTGATAAAGGGTTAACAATTGGCTTACTTTTTTCCTCCCTTGACAGTGATATGAGACTTGTTTTTAAAGGGGGCTCACCGGTATGTTTTAATAACCAAAGACTAAAATTGCTATTAATATTTTTTTGCCTCAGTCACTTGTTACACAGTAACTGTAGACATTTAAGTTTCACCTGCTGATATGATATTGGACGTGCAGCCCAAATGCAGGTTTCAGTCTTTAGTGTAAACGCAATAACCTGCATGTGGTTTTAAAAAGACATTCACCTGTTCAGCCTACTACTGAATACTATAGTCCTTTTCAGCTCAAGTGGAACAGAAACAATGTAGAAAGCTCGCAGTGACAGATGGCTAGTTCTCCATGAATGCTTTTTAGAATATACCTTTCAGGCTTCCCTCTAAAGGCTATAGCCATTTGGGTCTTTCTCCTTCAGTTTGAATTGGTGTGTTTTTAACCAGTGATCAAATGTGAAAGGGCTCCTTTCAGCTGTCACCTGGGATGCACAGGCACCTGTAATTCGGGGTGCGAGGGGGGGAGATGTCCTTTAAAACAACTGGCTGGCCTTACATGGAACCCTGTCCTACTGTTGCTGTTGAGATGTGGCTTTGCTTTAACCCTTCTCCCAGGACTGGGAGGCGAAACTGGCTTCCCCTCCCTGGCCTCAGTGGCTCCTCAGCTCTGTTGTCTGAAGTGGAGTTAAGCGAATGGCGATGTAGGAAAGCAGCCTTGAGCCTGTGCTCTGTAAAGGCAGCGGGCTGTTGGCTTCTCAGTGGGTTTTAGGAAGTGTCCCTTTTCACACTCTGTCCCCTTTGCTGTTTGGAGCTCTCTGCCCACGGTGCCCCAGTGGTGGGGGAAGGGTTAAATCTCTTAGGAACTGCAGACAACTTTAATTCTTTTCTTGTCCTCCCGTTTTTAAACTTGTGCGTTACTACTTGCAAAGACATGACAGTGCTCGTTAGTTTTCTCCGTGTGTTAGAGCTGTTTTTTGTGCTGGTAACCATCTCTTTCCATCCTTCTTGTTTTCTTTCCTAACCTGATTTCTTCCAGTCCAACTGCAGATCGAAGACCTGACTCGTAAACTGCGTACAGGAGACCTGGGAATCCCTCTTAACCCTGAGGACAGGTTGGGCAAAGCTTTTAACCCACGAACAGTAACATTTTTACCTTTTTGTTTAATAAAGCCAAATGTTCATGAATGCTTTCTCTGATTGGGGTGTTAAGACAGGTATAGAATTGACTGGGCTTAAGTTATCAGTTGAGCCTGGAGTGTTAAGAATATCCAGATCTTATTCTATTAATGACCTGGTTTTTGTCTTGAAAAGCTTTATTCCTCTGCTTCTCCATTTTAGCTGTCCTGCAATATGCAGCATCCTGAATAGTCAAGTCTACTGAATGGGGACTTGCTTCTGACCTGTCTTGTCAAAGCAACAGCAGCCCCTAGTGGTTCAAAATGTGTACTGCTTCCAAGGATGTTCACAGTCCTGAACGTGACTATTCTGCATGTCCACCTGGCTATCTTCTGCTCTAGATTAAAAATATGGTTGTGCACGCAGTTGCTCTTACAGTTTTAGAACTGATGCTGAACAGGCAGTGCTTGAGCTGCTCTGACATTTGACTGTGCTTTCATTCTCGGGGTCTTTCATACAGCAATACTTTATTAGTTCTGAGTTTGCTGTTACATGTTAGGATTAGGAAACAGGCTTAGCAAACATAGAGAAGTAAGAGGACGATATTAGTAAAACCAGGTCATTAATTTAGGAACTCAATGTTCCTGTCTATATACGTCTTCCAAATTTTTAATAAAAGCATGTTGTAGACACGATGGGCCATCGGCTCAATTTGTGAATCAAACTATTTTTGAGCATAAATGTTTGTCCATATCAGGATCATAATTCTAATCGCACGAAGCTATTGACACTTAGTTTTCTGTGCTTCAAGGAATTTCCAGCCCTGAAGAGAAATGATTGTCTTGCTGTCCTGGTTTTTTTGTCTTGTTCAAAGAACCGATCTTATTGAACTCATGAAACCTGCTGATCCTGCTAGATTATAAACGCTGACTTCTTTATGGACTTTGTATCGGGGAGCCTGGCGGCTCCATACCTGCTCTGTAACAAATGAACTGAGACCACCAGCTCTTCTGCCTCTTGGGCTCGATACGTTGGGCACGGCTGACCTTTTCAGTCCTATAGAGCAGGTGCTTCTCTGCGGGGCTTTCAGAGCTGGGTGAGAAGAGCACTAAGCCAGGGGATTGGGAAGTCCATCAGGGTGGTGCGGTTCAGTTCACCCACCTTCTGCGAGAGAGGCGCTTCTAAATCCTGGATTAAATTAAGCACCCTTCTAGGGTGTCTGCAGTTGTGAGCAAACTGGTGGAACTGCGGCACATGTAATTCCTTGTAGCACAGCAAACAGAAAAGTGCAAGAGCCTTTAAAACTAAAATTGCTCGTCACTGGAAACAAAATTGGCTTATTTGAAGCAGCTCAGTGACGGCTCTGTGTAATTTCAGTCTAGCTGTTAATTCTGTAGACGTGTGCGTGATTCAGGGAGGAGCACTGAAATCATTGTGTGTCATGCTGTTCCTTTTGGAAGGAATGGACTTGCTGAGCTTTATCTAACTTTCACCATTAAAAAATAATTCAAAAACAATGTGGAAATGAAGAACAGCGTTGTTCTCGTTTCATAGAAATTATTTCGCACTAATTTGTGGGCTTGGGGTTACAGTTCTGGGCTCGAGCGATCTTAGTACTGGTATGAAGTGATCATTCAGGAAAAGGTCATCAAGGCATTTTGAAGGCGTTGTATGAAAGCAGAGAACACATTGAGTAGGCAGAGTCCAGGACTGGTACAGTGGCTATGTGCCTGACTCTTTAGAGGTCTGAAATATTAAAAGGTGAATTTGTTTTTTTTCCCCCCAACTGCATTTTCTGCTTTTAAATCTTTTAAAGCCTGGATTTAATATCTCAAATTTCTGTTGGTTTCACTGTTTGAGTACAACTCCTTCAACATGGTACAGGTATTAGTTTTAAACGAACAGGATCAATTCTTACTGTATTTGAATAGATTAGTTAAGTACTTGTATTTGATAACATTGAAGATTTGTTTTGTCATCAGATCTTTGTGTGATGTTATAGGAATGAATATATTTTCTGCAGAGTAATATTTCGGTGTTCTAGGGTTATGTTTTCAGCTCATTTTAATGGGGGGGGGGGTTCATTAAATTGTTAGATGTGATCGTTTTGTTATGATCCCTTAATACATAATGATATTTTCTCCAGGGGAAATTCAAAGATTTTCTTGAATGGATATCAGATCCTATATAATAGCTTAGAGAATAAAAATGACGTCTCCCAGGCAAATCCACTATCTTTGCTTTAAAGGGTCATGAAGCGGAGTTGTAATTCAAGATTCCTCCCAGAGCGGTCTGAAATCTGGTCACATTTTCCCCCATCTTAAATAGATGTTTGACCTCGGTGCTTTTATATAACAAGGGTTCAGAAGTCCAGCCCTCTTGTTTGGATCCACTTTCTTTCAGGTTCATGAGTCGGTCTAATGGCCTGAAGGACTTGCTTGATTTATAGCATTTCAGACTGGAGCTGGGGTGAGAGCTCACGCTTGTGCATCTGGATTTGTGCGCCCTTGTTATATTGTGTAATTTAGGAGAGACCGCACAGAAGAGGATGACGTCTAATATATTTCTCTTTTTCGCTAAGTAATCCCGTTTTGCAGCGTAACCTCTTTAGGGAAACGCTAAGAGCCTGTTCCTAAATTTTCAGCGGCCGCAAAAAGAGGCTTTTGTAATTTTCTCTGGGGAACCCACCCGAAACTCCTCTCGGATCTTTCCTGGTTAGAGAGAACAGTGACGTAACTGTAGCCTGGTTGAAAGCAGGGTTTTCCAGGTTGTCACCGTTGGATTTTCAAGACTCGTTCAAGGGAAAACTTTTTTTTTTCCTCCTCCTCCTCCTCCTCCTCATCCTCCTTCTCCTTAACGGTCTCCGTGCGCCGGACCGTAAAAATCAGAACTGCTCCTTTTGGGGAAAGGTGTGCGCAGGACAAAGCAGAGCACAGAACCTAAAAGGAAATTTAACTTTTTTTCTCTCTAACCAAATTCCCCCACTCTAACCTTTTTCAAGCGCAGAGCCTTTTGCACAGAGAATCGTGTGAGACACAGGGTTCAGCATTCGAGGTGGTGGAGTAAGAGCCTGGTTTAAGCTATTCATAGCTAAAATATCGCAACCTTCTTACTGGTCGGATTTCCCCCGACTCCCAAACCCCCCCCCTCCCCCTTCCCTGGAGGATTAATCATTTTTGTGTTTAAACGCCTTTATTTTGCTCTTCTTCTTGATGCCTCGTTGGAATCCTGTACACGGGATGAGTCGTGCCGCGGGGTTAGCGCCTGCGTGGGGCAGAGAGGAAGAGTGTGGGTGCGAGCCCTCCCCTCTGGCATGCGTCGTGCTGCCGGCCCCACACCCCCCCGCTGCGCGCGGGCCCGGCCGGACGTGTGGGGCTGTAATGAGGGGCCTGTCCCGGCCTGGGGGGGTGGGGGGGGGGCATTGATGCTTGATGGAAGGGCTCCTGAGCTTAGCAGCCCGAGTTTGGCCAGCCAGCTGCGCTGGGGGGGGGGGTTGAAGAACGGAATGAAAACATCCCGGAAAATGAAACCTCCTCCCCCTTGTTCGAGACCCGTTCCCCAGCTATAGCGGTTGATTTCCTGCAGGGGGCACTAGCTCCACCCCCCTCCCCCCCCCCCGATTGGTTCCAGGTCCTTCATTTGTTTCCTGTTTTTTATTTTAAAAGTGCTGATATTGCCCCCCCCGCCCCCCGGCCCCCGCACGTACTGTCCGGTGGGTGTTAGCTGCATATCGCACCCGCTACCAGGAGAGTAACAGTGTGCCCATGTTACCCTTCTGTTCAGTCTCGACATGCTCACCGCTGTATTCCTTGCATTTGCCCACCCCCTCCCTCCTCCCTCCTTTAAGATCAATTGTACACGCGTTGTCTTTCCTCTTCTCTGGAGTTGAGCGAAAAGGTGCCTTGCTTACAGAAGAGTTCGGATTCTAGGCTAGCCAGTCATAGGGAGTGTGTGCTTTTTTTTTTTTAACATGAATGTCGTTGCTTGCAGAGAAGGGGATATTAACGGTCTCTCACCTCTCTCCGTTCCTCTTCCCACCCTCCCCCTCCCCCCCGGTCTCCCGCAGGTCCCCCTCGCCGGAGCCCATCTACAACAGCGAGGGCAAGAGGCTGAACACGCGGGAGTACCGCACCCGCAAGAAGCTGGAGGAGGAGCGGCACCTGCTCATCCAGGAGATGGTGGGCCTGAACCCCGAGTTCAAGCCCCCCGCGGATTACAAGTACGCCCTTGTCAGACCCCCTTACCCGCTGCCTTTCGCTCTGGAGCCTCGCTGTCGTCGTTGCGTGAGAGGGGCTGTGGCGTTGCTCACGGATGCTCGCCGATAGGCGCCGTTTTGGAGTTGACCCCCTTTTGTGGTTATTGGAAGCTCGGTTTCGTGTTGGCCTGAGAAAACCAGTCCTCAAAGAGGCTTCCAGCCTGCACTGTTTCTCCCCCCTCCTTTCTGTTACCCTGGGTCACTCAAGTTGTCGACGCCCTCGCTTCACACAGAAGCGAAGCTCGCCTCTGTCCGGCTGGGTGGTGCTGGTAGTGGTGGTGGGTGGGATTTATACGTCATTGGGTTTCGAGCTCTGTTTTTCTGTCCGTTTGCTAACGTTGCTCCCGTGTTCGGCCACCCCTGTCTGCAGGCCCCCTGCCACCCGCGTCAGTGACAAGGTGATGATTCCCCAGGACGAGTATCCCGAAATCAACTTTGTGGGCCTGCTGATCGGACCACGGTAAGAACAGGTTAAGGGCGGTGGTTAAGTGGATCGTTCGGACCTTGGCTTTGTTAGCTGGGTTTCTCTCAGCCAGCTGTTTTGTTTCCCACAACTTAAACCCTAGTATGAGACGTTCCCGTCAGGGACCACTTCCTGCCTTTTGTCTCTTAGGAGCTCATCTCGTGACCCTGAAAATTTGTTTCATAGAGACAGAGTAGCTCTCGCGTCCCACACGACAGCTGTGGGATGGTTAAAGCCTGTGCTGTTTCAGACTGTACCCCAGCTTGAACTTGAACTTTATTGCCATATGTAACCGGTACTGGTACCGGTACTGGAATTCTTACTCACAGAAAGTCTCTCGATTGTAAAACAAGTGTAAAAAACAAGACAAAGTGCAAACAGTGCATCAAGACAGTGTACAAACAAACAATAGACAATGTGCAAGTAATAACGTAGCTCCTGCTATGACTGTGGTTCTCAAAGTATCTTACTCGTGCTCGTTGTCCTGCAGAGGCAACACCCTGAAGAACATCGAG